GTGTCAGCCGAGTTCGTGCCGGCCCCGAGTTGCCACGCTAAACCTGGACTAAACCGAGCTGCACATAGTTAAGCTAATTATCTATCGACTCCGAGTGAGCCGTTGGTCTAGTTAAGTCAAACCAGTTCGGGCATTCTAAAAGGTTCAAAGAGAATTTCAGTTAAGTCTGAGCAGTCTGGACGAATCGAGAGTTTAGTTCGGAACATCGGTTTGAGCTTGAACCGAAATTGCAGTATTTTTCTGAACCACCAGATTTATATCCAATCAAAATATAGTCCAGACATAGAGTTATGTCGAAGAATTTTAGTGTGCCTCAAAGACAATAAATTTTCGAAATCAGCTCATAAATTCCTAAAATGAGTTTTAAATGATTTTAAAACCTAGTGAGGGAACCTAGTCAGATCAGATAATAAGATTCGAGTTTTTCAGTTTAAGCTAAGTACTTATAATATATTATGTGCTTACATATTTTGTAGCTTGTGGGGAGTCGAGCCTCTGACAGTTGCAATCCATTCAGCACTTGCACTTCAGCATATCAAGTGGGGACCCTGTACTGGGTACTACATTTTCTATAATCGCAATATCCTGGCTGAGGTATGTATGTAAGAGTTAGTTCCCCCGAACAGGGGCAATTACCTAGTGAGTAGGTCCTTTCTAGCTAAGTGAACCGAACGCTAGTTAAGATGAGATAAGAATTCTAGTGCAAATTTGAGTTAAGGGAATTAAAAAACTTAGAACAACTTTGAATTAAGTTGAAATTTGAGATGAAGTTAGAATAATTCTACCCTAAGGGGCATTGACCTAGAGATAGGTTTCATCACAACCAAGTGTTTCGAACTCCAGTTAGTACATAGGACTCTAGTGCAGTTGTGAGTTAAGCTCCAACTTTAGAAGTGCATAAGACTTAGTTTTAGCCTAGTATGGGAAACGACCTACATATTAGGTCCTACCATGTCTTATCGCAAGCGTGAAGGCCAAGTGTCCTTCTCAGCAGTTATAAACAGTCAGTTGACCAATAGTTATAGAAAGTCAGTGGACCAACAGTTATAGACATCAAATTAAGCAACAATTAAGACAATTTACTTATTTATACGCTTTTGTGATGTGTTTTATCATATTATATGTATGCTTAGGTTGTGACGTGTTTTATCATATTAGATGTATTCTTAGATTGCGATGTGCTTATCATATTATAGGTATGTTTAGTTTGCGATGTTGCAGTTATAGTCAGTCAACCGAGCAACAGTTATAGTCTGTCAGTCGAGCAACAGTTATAGTCAGTTAGCCGAGCAACAGTTGTAGTCAGTCAGTCGAGCAGCAATTATAGTAAGCCAGTTAAGCATAAATTATAAACAGTTAGTTAAGTAGCAGCTATAGATAGTTTACCTTTTTATATCTATTGGAGATATGGATAATTCGCAATCCGTTAGTAAGATGTTTATCATCTTATCGTTTCTGCCGATCCAATAAGTACTTGCATATATGCCAATGTCATGATATGTTATTATATTAGTTGTATATTTAATGTCGGTCCCAACAGAGCATCATTGATTCATTTATGCTCATGGACCTCACTAACGATTTTTCAGGTGACGATGTCGAGCGTGGTGCGTGAGCTGATGATGTGATGGTGGTCATAGTAAGGATATTTTTAAGTAAACATGTCATGTATATTTGAACATATTTGAGTTATTATGCTTGTTGATGCATGCTTGCATTTGCTTCCGGACTCCGTATTTCAGTAGTATTTCAGTATTTCAGTATTCATATTTCAGTTTATGTATGCCTAAAATCCTGAGATTTTCATAGCGCCACATTAGAGTAATGAATTATATCTGGGTTGCATGCATAATAGTAACTGAGAAAAGAAATGAGAATTTAGTTCAGTTGAGTAGCATCCCGTAGATTAAAGTTAAAGTATTTTCGAAAAATTAATAAGAGTTATCAAAACTTAAATCAGTGTTTTCCATTTATAGCGCGAAAAATTTACTCTGATTTTAGTAAATTTAGGCGGGGTGTTATAGTATAACTCAACTAGAAAAATGCAGCATACCTGTGGTAGAAAGCTTTTTATGTGGCCATATTTTGTGTCGATGTCTAATCTTCCTCGAAGACCTAATGGAATAACTTGACTATATCTGCAATTTCCGACTGTGGAATTGCCCTGCTTAGATTCATCACAACACAACAACGGCACAACATGATTATTACCAGCCAAATTAGCATTACATTATGTACTATATTTGATAATAAAAGTCACCAATCTTATGTTATTCTTAGTCAAGCACTCCAATTATAAGATGATGCCCTTTTTAGAAATTGGGCATTAAAAAAAGAGGGGGAATATAAGTAGAACTGTAGAATGTTATTTTGAATCTCAATTTTGATAGCTAGCATATGAACTAACTTGATCGATAATAGGAAAATATCCCCCAACATCTGGCAAAATGCTGCCGTCTTCAAGTATTCCTCCTTCACCTCCGATCCCAACGGCTACGTCATCTCTACCCATCATGTAAAGAAGGTCGTATATTTGATTTACAGCATGCCCCGCATTTGTCCACGAATTTGTGCTTATTGTAATCGCCTGCAATAAATTAGCATATGGTGTTCGCCAAATTAATAAATATCAATGATGTAATATAAGAGATATATAAATTAAAAATATGTAAGAAAAAGTTTTGTTACTTCTCTTACATCCCAAAAACCCTAAATTGCATTTCGAATTTTCGAATTCTGTTATAAAAGTATA